AACATCTTTTGAGGAGACATTGTTCTTTTCTTTGGTCTCAACCAACGTGTTCTCCATCTTTTTTAGCAAACAGCGGTATGAGATGAGTCTCCAGGGTAGGCTTGCATCCATCCTTGTTTACTGTGCTAAAACATGACATGAACCCCACCCCCATAAAAATTAGAGTATGAGCAAAATACTTCCAGAAGGTCAATTCAAGAATTACTAAAAGACTGAGTTTGTTTGGAACACTATTTAACATTGAACATGGAAAAAGGGTGTAGGTTGTTGCACTTTAACGAAGTTGGGAATACATTGGGTATGTTCTTGTTGTTGTATTGTTGCACTTTAATAACCAAACACCATCCTAGAATCAATGTAAGTCGACAGATTACACATAATTTGCATGAACACAACATAAATTTCTCAGAAATAACTTCAAATTGCAATCCCAAGAATTACTGACTCTTGAGTGACAAAAGACCAATGAATTTATTTTAAGGTATGACATACCGGTCAAAGATGAATGGCTAGTGTAGGCACTCGCAGTATAGGTCTTTTTATCTTAATAAGATTGTGCTGAAAGCAGTCATCATCCGCTCTAACGATTACCCTACCAGCAAGGCAGCAACACTTAAGTCATGGTCAAACCAAGTATGCCACAGACCACCACCATAGGTCTTGACATTTACCATCAGACGACCACATTTGGATGATGCAGACATTGGCTTCAACTTCAGTCATGGGCTATCAGTATGCACGGCGATAATGTGAAAACCATTTGAAAAGGAATACCTGCAAATCAAGTACAATCTTATAACTAGTATTTAGAATAACAAAAGTAGTATAGCCACAAAATAAGTATCATCTTCAAACAGCTCGTGAAAATGTTGGAACAAACTGAAGGCGGATGTGAAACATTCATCTGGCAGTGAAAGAAACATGCTCAGGAAGTTTAAATAAAAGAAGCAACTGAGAAACACATGGCCATTCACTACTCACTCCCACGTCTTGGAGATTTATAGCAGCTTAAAACATCAATATGTCAATAAGTTACAACAACTAGCCTTGTTTGTTTGTAAACTCATTTTACATTTTAATTCATTTTACCTCTTAAACACAAAACCCCATGGAAAAAAAACATCATCCAAACAACTTTCTGATTTACATTTTAAATTCCAACTTGAAACACTTTTTGTCAGTGTAATGACCATTTTAGAACTACAAATAGTTCAGTGACAAATTTGGCAAGATTCCGTTGTTGAGTGATTGTTTTTGGAAAAGTTCTTTTTTGCAGTGACTATAATTGACAGTATTTAATTGTTTAGTGATGACTTGTACTTGATATTTCAAAATGTAGTTCAAAATACTTTTTTTCAAAACCAACAACCAAACAACATTTTTTTTTCCCATTTAGTTTTCAATTTGAAACACTTTCCACTTTTAAGTGGTAAAATGAAATGTAAATTGACGTCCAAACAAGCACTAAGCTTTTGTCCAACCATATGGGCCTGGCACATGGATCATATATCACTTCTAGTTCTGTCAGTATATATGCTCTCAAGGTTCAAAAACAAAACATTGAAGCATGTCTCTTTTACGGCTATACTTTGGATCACATTCAACCTAGTTTATTCTGACATAAACAAGGGCTAAAATAGACTCACTAGTCACTTCTCCCCAATTGCAAAGGCACTAAAGAGGACATATTTCGCATGAAAAAGTGGCGTCCACCAGGCTTCAAATCCCATTCATCATTTTCATTCGACAGATAAAACCCAGTGGCGAGTAACTGTCGTTTGGCTTCAGCTGTAGAAATGAAAGCAAATAACATATGTAAACAAAACTGAGTAGCACACTGGACCGTGATGTTATGATTCTCATTATTATCACCTGACGTGATGAATTCTAAATCACGCAGCCAATGGAAGAATGCAAACTACTGTAACAATTACAATTAGTCATAACCATATGAAATTGAGAGGTACTCCAAGCTGTAAGAAATTACAATCCACAAGGTAATTTTATCTATGGTTATAAGAGATCACTTACCAGTAGCATGGGATTGAGTCCATGACTTCGCTACCTATGGACTTATTCGAAGAGCTCTGCATTACAAAAACTCAGTTAAATTACAGTTATCAGAAAATGGTGACGAGCGCAAGCAATAAAAAGAAAAAGAGAAAGGAAAAAGGAAGACCTCGGGAATGGAGTGGGGGAACTGGAACAGAGCCGACGGAAGTGAAAGTTATGCGGATTGTTACCGAATGAAGAGCAAAATGGAAAGGAGTGAGGGAGCTTAGAGAAAAGAGTGGATGGAGATTTTCGTATTGGATATGGGTGGAGACTTTGGAAGTGAGCCGCCGCGGCCGACATGAGAAGAGGAACAAAAGTTTGAGAGGTCCAAATCTCCGGCCACTGATCCTATCTGTTCCCACTGTGAAAACCACCCTTTTCAGCGGGCCCGGAATAATGATAGAAGGATGCGTTGTTAAATGACCAAAATAGCCTTGGGGAAATGAATTGAAAATTTAAAGTTTGCAACCAATCCAATTTTGACCACCTCTAATTACATGGATTTCTTCGGGTTTTTTTTTATTTATACTTTTTTCACTATATAAATGTATTTAACCTTTATTATATTGTAACTAAAAGAAAACCTTTATTATAAAATAACTAATAAGCATTACATTAAAAATAAATGAAAAATACACTTGTAACTCATGCAAACTTGTGGCTTGTGAGGACAACTGCAGAGATATGAGGGGGATATGAGGGAGGGACATCTTAGAAGTTGATTATAAAAGAGTGGTGCAAAACTGCTAATGATTGTACAAGAGCCATAATATGTTGACACCATGATGGATTACAATATCTATTACAAATGTATGATCATGCAAAGCCCATAGTGTTGCCTTTTCTTTTCACTTTCTTACCAGATTAAGCTTAAAGATAATTAAATTGAGGATTATATAATCACCAATGTTTGAGTGATAAAATTGTTCTTAGCTTCTAGAGACTATCGCAGACTATGGGTCTTTCAGTTCAGTGTGAAAATCGGAGCGCTGTGATTCAGTACAAGCTGAACTTTGGAATATTTATCAAGGGTTGCAAGTAGTAAACAATAATGCGTAGGTACACAAAAATTCAGCCGAAGGTAGATTGTAAGAAAGGGTCACTCACTAATAATATCTATACTATTGCACCACATTTTATTATATGTCAGGACAGTATCAAAAATCACATCGCTAGAGAAGCAAATAAACCGCACATTACGTCACTCATACCCTTTGTGTATACATTTTTTGACAAATTCTTCTTAAGGTTTTATTGATCTAATGGGCAGGAACATGCTAGCCGAAGGTAGATTGTAAGAAAGGCTCACTCACTAATAATATCTATACTATTGCACCACATTTTATTATATGTCAGGACAGTATCAAAAATCACATCGCTAGAGAAGCAAATAAACCGCACATTACGTCACTCATAACCTTTGTGTATACATTTTTTGACAAATTCTTCTTAAGGTTTTATTGATCTAATGGGCAGGAACATGCTGGAAACACCCTTTTCAGGTTAACTCATTTTATTCACTTAACATTTTCCTTTTGGCTTCCTATTTATTCCAAAAATTTTCAAAAAAGAAAAAAAAATGCTCTTACATCTAAAATTAGTGGACTTTCCATACTGGAAAAGGGGCGCACTTCTGCTTCAAAATAATAGTAGTAGTTGAAAAGCTAAAATACATTGATACACTATTAACACAATAGACGGGAGGAACTAGTTTGGATTTAAAAAATAGAAATGGTTCAATATTAATGACACCCTAATAGTTCAGTTCAGATGTGATATGATTGCATCACATGGTTTCCTAGGTAACTTTAGTCTGATCAGGAATGTAAAACTTCAATATAATGTATATAGAAATATATAGAGAAATGAATAAATATGGACTCACTGGCTCAGAGATATTGTCATGGCAAAAGGAGTTATAATAATACTTGTAATGTCATTCTAGAGTAAAATCAAGTCATCAAACAGCAAAATAAGTAAAGACTCTACAACGCAAAAAGTATTATAGAAGATCATGTGCCAGTTTTGGCCCGTATCCAAACCAGTTAAAATTTCATTACCATATTTCACCATCCACTCCATTCAAATCAACTAACTACAAGGGAGGACCAAGTTTTTTATAGTGTCTTTAGCTAATAGCTCAAGTATTATGGCATGCTAAACAATGAACTCTATTTCCATACATAACAAATAGCATCATTTGCGCAACAAAGATGGCGTGGCCAATTGTGCTTTTGGATAGTATCACAAACTTCAATTGCAGCTTGAGCTCAAAGCCAGAATTTCACATACTTTACAACAGGTTTATGGCATGATCAAACAGAAAAATGCTCTTTTTTAAAACAGTTTCACCTGCATCAACCTGTTTTTTCTACAACGCCAACATCAGCACAAAGCATTTCTAAAACGTTGTTTCTATGACAATCTTCTATCCGTTTCTGCCCAGGATGACAACATCCCAACTGTCTTCGGCTCTTTTCTTTCCTACTTTTCCCTTTAAATCCATAATTTACTCTTTCTCAGGCGTTTCGCAATCATGACATCGCCACGATTCACGCGTTATATCAATCTAGGCCTAACGATGGCTCACGATTTTTTTCAACCTAACATGCACCTCTTGCAACCAAGAACGCACAAAACACGGACGTTAGAGACAGGAGATTGTTGTATTCACGGAGGATCTCCCTTTATTTTCATAAACTTCAGACTTTGTTTCAGTATAAATAGGCTCGAGAGCCATCAAAGTATAGGCACCACTTCTCACCTTGACTTAGCATCTACTGATTAAGCACATAAGTCTCTTAATTAGAAGCAAAGGCAAGTTTATTTTTCTCCCAGAATAGCCAGCTTCGCAATTCTAATGCTTTAGCACATCCCTAAATACTTTTTGGGTTGTTAAATTTTCTGCTTATCTTTCAATTGTTTCTTTTGTCAGGCCGTTCAGCATGGAGAGACAAAACGCTGATCTTTTCTTGGCGAACTACCGCATGATGCTTGAAAATAAGAGGCTGAAAAAGAGAGTTGAGCAGCTGAGGGAGGAAAACCAGCTCCTTGCTGCTAACATGGAAGCTCAGAATGGAGATTCCAACAACAACGCTGGTCCGAGTTCTTCAGCAAATCAGCAGGGTTCTAAGAAGGCAGGACAGGAGAAGAAAATGTGAAAAGCTTCCATCTATCAGAGGAGTTGTAATAAATAAATTATCATTTCCTTTCAGTATCTGCTATGTGAGTAGCGTTTGCTTCTCTGTCAATGTTTATAGTCAGTTTACTGTGGCCCTCATGATCAACTAGTGATTCTATGTTGGCCAAGCTGACCTTTTTCCTTTTTCAGATTTCATATCCTTTTCGGCATAATAATTCTCTTATCTCTTCTTGTCTCTCATTTCTCTCTTTGGTACGACTAATGAGCATCACTAAATAGACCAGTTCCTCACCTACTTTTAAATTTGTATAAAAGAACCCAGATAACTGATGAAATTAACAAAAATGTAAAGAAGCCACCAAATAAGGATCGTGAAATGTCAGGCCATGAGAAATCTACTAAACAGTGCATAAAGATCCATGACAATTAGCAAAGTGTAGTTCGTATTGCTCTAGATATTCACTTCTGACTTCCCTTGCGCCATCCGCTACCATAAGCTATTGACCAGGAATTATAATTCTCAACCTATGACTTCCAGAGAGATTAACTTTTGTGATTTTAAATCTAACACTAGGTTTGTTGACTCCTGAAGTGAGTCACAAATCAAATCTAGCAGAACAATGTCTCTTAAACTCCTATAAATGTCTTCGGGAAGGGAAAATCGCAAGCAATGAGTTTCTTGTAACAATGTGAAATAGGAGGTTTGCAATCCTGATTAACCATTATCGTGTTCATACAAGTTTTGACTTTAAATTTTTCTTCATTCAGTAAGTTTCTTTTGATAAAAACCCCAATATCCAAAGTGCATCAAGATAGAACTGCAACCCTGCATAACAGAATGAATATGGAGCTGCATTCATATTAGTGTTTTTATCGGTGGAAGAATACAATAACCTCATAAATCTCATCTTGACATTAAATATCATGTTCTGCATTTTTTGAAATATGCCCAGTTATGGTTCTTGTTCCCGTGTTAATTCATGCTTCCATCTTGAACAACTGGCATTGCAATTGCCTAATGGTGCAAACAGCTGTTATTTCCACAATGGAATCTGAATCCCAATTTGGCATTAAAATATCTACATTCACGATTGTTTATCTATTAATACCCATGTATCCCATCACATCATCTCTTAAATCTAATATTCCTCAAACAATAGGCATCATCAGAATAAAAAAAGTTTCAGGAAGATATTTATTTAAAGTTTTGCTATCAATGAGTCCGGCAGAGTTCACCTGAGTATAAGAGTATTCATTCTTGCAAGAATTCTAGCATAACAATTCTAAAACCAGATCTCCTTGTGATTCAGTTCGAATATTTACTCTAGGCTTTTAAGTAAGTAATATTTCTATGAATTCCAACTCCATGCAGCGGTTACTACATGAAACTAATTAAACTCTAATAAATCGGAAGATGGAGGAATTTTAGAAGCTTATATAAACTGCTAACCAAGATTTTAGCCCTTTCCTCTTTAAAAATTGTGCCAAAGTAATCAAGAAGCATTCCTAAAGCCAACTTCTCCAATTATATTGTATTTCAACGATATTTTTGCTTACCAACACTTGTAACAAATTCAAAAGTATGCAAAACAAACTTGAAAAAAGTTACAAGTAATCAGCATCAGAAAACAAGTTTGTAAAAATGAAGCAAACCAGTTTCTGATATGATAGGTCCACCAGCAATGGTGCATAGTAATTTAAGCAACAAAATCAAATGAAGAAAATAAACCATAGATAGCAACTGTTTGGTTATGGAAATTTACATAATTGCATGCTATTTTCACAAATCCAATTATAAGGATTGCTGGAAGATTGAGTGTTTTTTTATTATTTTATTGATAAATAGATTTGGTCAGATACTGCAAATAAAGAAAAGGAAGTAAATCATTTTTATCTGCTTTCTTAGGTATTTGTGGCACAAAATGTGGATTAGCAAAAGTGCTCCAATTCCACCAGAAGCCACACAAGAAATTTGAACTAGAAGCTAAACGCCTTCTCAAAAACAAGGTACGCTTATAATAAACTTCAAGAGTGCAGAACAGAATCAAAACGTACCCAGGAAATAAATCGTTGATTGTAGAAACAAAATCCCCAAACAAAATGAAGATCGAAGCAATTAGATTTATCTTATGACCTCAGGCACTGTCCACTGGCACCTTAAATGATCTTGAATCTGTCTGCAAAAAACAAGCTAGTAATTAATCATTTATGAAGTTAAGAGGACATGAAGTATTGGTATAACAATAACGATGACATCAAAATTACAAAAGCAAAGTAATTTGATACTGACAGCACACAAGGAATCTAAAACTGATCCTTCACGACATTGACTAAGTGAGTAGTCTAACATGTTTGCGACAAGCAGCAGAAGTGGCTTCCTAAGACTTATCTCCGACTATGTGTTTCAGCATAAGTGCAATAAGTGGCTCCAAAGGCTACAGTGCTTTATTTTTAGGTAAATACCAGCAATGAGAGGAGCGAATGCACGAAATCGATAGATATAAAGCACAAAGTTAGCCACATATTATCAACTACTGCCTCTTATCTTGTGTGAGTGGTACAACTGAATCAACTCTGTTAAACACACATAATCAACCAATTTTTTACCGGAAAGACAAAGATGTTGTGATCTTCCCGTTCACTTGGACCTAATGTGCAAGATGCATAGAGCAAAAAAAGGTGACAAACCAACCTAAAAGGGGACAATCAAATCTACGTTTATATGTTAAAAAAAAAAAAACTTAGCAGTATGATTGATTAAGTCTGCACCATCGGAAAAAGCTGCATTACGAATAACATAATTATTATCTGAATTATCTAGTCTCCGGTAAATGCACGAGAATCAACAAGAAATCGAAGAGCACACAAAATCGCAGCAACATTATTCAGTTTATTCCCAAAAGACCTAATTATTAGCACATCAGAGTCAGCTAACATACAATTGGCCATTGCCTTTACGTACAAGCTCATTTGACAGAACTACATATAATTTGATAGCAGCGGCCGGGAGAAAAAAAAAAATGCACATGCATAAAGGAACGGTAGAAATTGAGAGATACACGAAAAAATACCTTTGCTTCTTGAATCCTGGATAAGATGGATGAACGTATGAGTATAATGGTGGGGTTATGAATCGGAGAACTTTGTTTGTGGAGGAAAACTGGAGATGTGGATGATCTATGGAGTGATGATTGAGAGAGATGGAAGGAAAGCAGGGGAAGTTGCTAGTTGGAACTTAACAGAAGCCCGGAGGGGGGCCATCGTTTTGAGGGTTTTTTCTTTTTTCGGGGTGTGTTTGACTTGCGTACTTGACTCTACTTGGTGTGAAAATAATTTTGTTTATAAAAAATCATTCTATATACTCACTACATAAGAAATAATGTAAATATATTATGATCCCGAGTGTATAAATATAACTCGGAATATGATAAAAAATCGTGACCCATGTAAAAGTCAACGAGGATGGAACTTGATATCACTCGTTTCATTTTTCATTTAGTCATCGATTTTTTAGAGTCCGACTAATGATACCTAACGAACTTTCAAAAATTCTAATTCTATTGTTACTCAAAATAGTTTTAATTCGTCATTATCAATAAACTAAGTTCTGATGTACATTACGCCAAATGAATATAATTGTCTTTTATATTAATATTTGACTAAAATATCCCAAATTTTAAAAAGATTACCTGACATCCACATGTAGGATCAAGTAAAAGGAGTATTATCAGAATGATTTTTCCTTGTTATTGTAAAAAAAAAACATTGTACTGAATGAAATATTAAAACAATTACATTAGTTAAAAGAAAAATATATGTACAACGAAAAAAATAGTGAAAAAAGATAGTCAGTGACGTCAAGCATTATTGGTCTTTAGTTTTTTGTCACTTTCCAGTTAAAATTTTATTTTTTAAAAAAATTACATTTTTACCCTTAATTAATAAGTACACATATTTAGTGAGAATTGTGTATTTGTATTTCATTAGTCACTATTCCGTTTTATTATAATTTGTCATTGTCTCTATCATAAGTAAGAACTAAAAAAAAAAAACATCTTTGGTAAACCCATTCATGAGCTGAACTTAATTGATTAAGTTACTGGCGTTGTTTGATAACACAAGTTCACAACTGAAGAATGTCAAATTTGACCGGCCCAAACGTAGCAAATGGCTTGGGCCTTGGCTCGTATGAGCCTTTTAAGGGTAATTTCCCATTGGTCCTACAATTTCATACTGAAATGATAGGTATCAGTCTATTAAGTGGGGTCAACAGGTATTGCCCAATTGGGCACTATAAATACCCCATACCCCATGACTATTTATTGCACAATTTAATTTCACACACTATTTTTCTTTCTAAAGTGTGTAATTATACTCTTTCTCTCTCTAGCACTAACTTAAGTTTCGGAGTACTAATCTTTGCCTTGCAGATTCATGTTCGGGTTTGACCGTTGACTCGTCGCCTCTGGGATTTACCCTCAACAACAACTTAATTAATTAAGAACTTAACTAATTAAAAACTTAATTTTAAGTATATTTTATAACTCAAAGTAAGATGTCTTAATAAATTAAGTGACCCTGAAATGCTAATACAAATATGAGTATACAAATAAGTGATAGGCCTACCAATTCTTGTTACAATTTTTTTTCCTATTTATTCACTTTTATGTTTATAATTTAGATGTTTTATCTCGAAAAGTTTTTAACATTGGTGATTAGTTATAAATATAATATTATATAAATTATTTTTATATTTAATCAATATCTATTTTAATATAAAAATTTAAATACGAATAAAGTCCATGATAACATATATTTACCATAAAGATATGATATTCTTTTGATAATGATATAGATATGATATTATTATTAACTAGAAACTTAATTACATAATAAAATCTATATGTTTGTATTATAAAACTTCATAATAATACTATTATTTTTATCATCATAGTTTCATATATATCAATAGTTTTTTTTGGATAAAATTATAAGTCAAGAAGTGTTCAGTCTTCATTT